TGTCGCTCTCCTTTCAGGGCTCTTGGAAAATGGCACATCAGCGCCACCTCGGTGCGCGGTGCGGCGAGGGCCGTTTGACGCCGCTTGCGGCTTTAATTCTCCATTGTATTTTCAATGGAAAACGGACCAGACACGCGTCGACGGACGTAGAAAAATAGGATTGTTTCTATTTCACACGTCCACTTCCGTTGAACCCTGCGTGGACGGACTACTCCCTACGCATGTTGCGGGCAGTGGAGCCACTTCCATTCACCCTCGTGGAGAAGACGGAAATGGGGATGAATTGCACACGTTTGGACAGATACGTAGTACGTTTTACGCAGCCGGTGGAGTCGGGGCCTGTTAACTGCGGTGTTATTTCTCCGGATTGTTGCTCAAAGAGTCGTGGGGTTTATTTTGTCACAATACAATAATCAGTCAAGGCACTTATTCCCTAAATTTCTCAGGTTCCTGCTCATACGCCAACAACTTTACCCACACGCTTGCTCCATCAGCTCACTCCAGAGCGCGCTCACGTTTCGGCCACGCGCATGCACACACTTACGTGACATACCGCGACTGTGGTTTTGGTCCAAACCAAGCAGATCAGGCAAAAATCCACTGGAGTAATGCAAACTTTTGGAAAAATGCTAATCGAGAATTTAGCATTTTACTTTAGACCAGAGCAGAGAAAATGGTCTGAACCAAGCGTCTGCTTCACCTCTGCTGCAGTGACCTAAAGCAGTGTTTTTCAACCACTGTGCCGCGGCACACTAGTGTGCCGTATGATATTGTCTGGTGTGCCGTGAGAAATTCGCCTTCTTTGTCTAATAACAAATGCATCCACTGTTGGCGAGCGCTAACTTGGTTTGACCTGTCGAGTAACCACATAATACTTTTTCATATCAGTGCGTAGCAGCAGATAGCTACAGTAGGTCCCATTTCGTTTTGTTGTCTTCATTCACGCTTTTCGGGAATCACGCAGCTGCGTGAAAAATATTACATCTTATTGCCACAAGGTGGCAGGTTAAGTCCGCTTTAGCTCTGCCAGCGACTTAGACGCTCAGGTATCATACTGCGTGCAAACATGTTTAGCCCAGAGATTCTATGTTAGCCCAATGGTTAGCATTAAAGACTGGGACCTGGAGAACCCAGGTTCGATTCTTGTCTGAGGCAATTTTGGTTGCACATCTTTTGGTTGCTTGTGTGCAATTACGTAACGTTATCAGATTGTTATCTTCTATCCTTGTCAAAAGGAAATGTGTAAAATTGGCTGTGTGTTCAAGCCGTGCATGTGAATGTATATGTGTTGCTTTTGAATGCTTTTTCAAAGTAAGAGCATAACAGACAACATATTTTGTACTAATGTTAATCTTTATAATTAAATTGCATTAACGTATATATGTGATGCGATCTGGGAAAACCCGTTGGATGTCTCGAACGTTACGTTACATCCTCCGCTCTGGCCCCGGGAGCAGCTGCTGTGACCCCCGCTCTGACAGCTCAGTGAACGCACTGCAGTCTGGGCTCCGAGCGCGGACCATAGATCTCGAAGTGTGACCAAAAGGGGGAAACTCGAGTCTGACCGCAGTAGGCAACAAACGAGGGTAAACATTGGAGTTGCTTTTGAGAGGTTGAAAACTCTGAGAGAACTTCTGGGCATGAGAAAAGACCCACAGTTGGCATCATTTCCGCTTGAAAGGTAAGACATTATCTCTAAACACATGTGTTTATGCTTTCAAAGCAGCGGTGTCCGTGCATTGAAAGGCTACGTAGCGAAATACTTTTTTTTGTCTACATCTAAGTTTTTATTTGTGGAAAGTGCTCAGAGTGAGAGAATGATGGGTCATTTTCTAAATACTATCTGTAATACGCATTTCTAGCAAGATCTCTGCGTCAAACTAACACACTAGCTAGCATTAGCTGGCAAAGCCCAGTGAACTGCGGTTTGTTTACAAACGGGGCTTTTTCTAGAACCTTACGAACATTTTCCCTTTTAAATGTATGTACATTGCAATCGCAATAGTAACTAGTTAGTTGTTGAGCGTGTAGAGTCTTCGAAACATACGCGTGTTATTGTAATTGTCTCACTGCAATACTTGATATTGCCATCGCTAGCAGTAACAATGGCTCTATTGTTGTAGTTACGAGAGGCACTCTCTATCAAAGGGACCACCCATGGCCCATCAGCAGAGGTGTTGATGGGGCCCCATCCCCCCAGTTCAGTGACTGCAGGCGAATCTGATAGGTAAGTTTGTCAAATGCAACTTCTGCTTACAGGTTACCACTCATCCACCGTCAACTAAAAAGTATTTTGTCCTACAGGGAACAATTTCACATTGCAGGAGTTGAACCTCTGACAGCAGATACAAGGTTACAATCGTTAGAGAAAAGGTAAACATGCATGAATTTTAACATTTGACGAATACTGTTTTTTGTCAAAAAAATTCAATGTGTATGTGTTGGTTCATAATTTACATATTGGGCTGTTCTTTTTTAATTCCAGAATAGAGTTTGAGGGGGATGGAGTTTCAGACCCGTATGATTCAGATTATGTGCCACCAATCTCATTACGGTATGTATTTTTTTTCTTATCTTTTACTTTTCACTCACTAATAGTATACATTTCATTTGGGTTGTAAAATAGCGGTGCATCGCAGAATATGGTCAACAAACTTCCTTGCATTGGGCTGGAAGAATCTATATTAGACATTGCTGACTGTGTTGAGGAAGTCCAAGAAGCAGATCTTGAGGAAGATTTGGAAGAAGAGGCAGCAGCCACCATTCCCATTTTCCCAAAACCATGTTGAGTGGTTGTTGAAAGTGACCTTGTAAACCAGCAAGCATGCATAGCATACAACAAACACCTCTGCAGATGGCAACTTTTCTCCAATTGCCTGGCAATAAATGCCACTACAGTGACCACACAGGCACAGAGTGTGACGGCCGTCCACCCTTTTCTGTAAAGTCACATGCGTGAGGTCCATCTTTGATATTGGAGTGGGTGAGTTTACATGGTTTGCACATGTGTTTACCAGACTAAGGTGGTACATGTGTGAAGTTACAGACTTGTTAACACTTTCTTCCCCATATAGTTTTGCCCGCACGGCCACAAATTATGGAGTTTATGCAAGGAGGAGATTTTATGTTGTTCTGCAATATTTACCTCTTATTCAAATTCATGAATATCTGCATGTGGCCTCCTCAACATCTTATGCAGTCCAGGGAACCTACTGTCTAAAAACAATAAATCAGTTTTGGGAGGAGAAAAGGACTGCTATCATCAACAGATTAGAGTCCAAAGACAACGTTGTTGCCCTTGGTACTGTAAGTAAGCATATTCATTTCTAAGCCCGTGTATACGTATGCTTACATGCCTTTTGTGTTTATGTTTTAGGTGACAGGAGGATCTACTTACCAGGTAATGCACAAATCTCTGTGGTATTTCATTAATATTGGTTTGTTGTTATTGAAATGTTTGTCATTATTATTTCCCCCACAATCTATATATTTTTCCAAAAAGGTCACTCTGCTATGTGCTGTACGTACACAACGATGGAGCTAGACACCATGGACATCGTAAGTGTTTAATTGTATTTAACACAGGTCTGGTAAGACTTTTTAAAATATAATTGTGGTGTCTTCAATCAGGCTGAATGGTTTCTGGTCAAAAGGCTTTACTTGTATGGATTGAGGACATCTTTAACCATTTCTGGTATGCTTGTCAGCACCCAAGCACCAGAGAGGAGTTTATGGTCTGTATGAACATTGGATATTTATAACGTCACTAGATAATGTAATTTTCTCTTTGTGTGGTGACATGGTATAACTTTTGATATACAACGTATTGTATACATTTAGGGTGTGTGGAGAGGTGCACTTCACCATGTGCGCCTCTGGAGGATAAACAGGACAGAGAGCCCATTCCACGTGGTTCTTAATCGGAGGTGGCTGAAGGATATTGAGAAGTTGCTCACCTTTCGGTAAGTCATGTGGGTGATATCTTGTGGGAATGTACAGGAACTGCCTTTTTAATACTACAAAGTATATTATATTACACAGAGATCGAATGTATTTGTATGTTTGACGTTACAATAATCTTTGTTCTGTAGGACAACTTCAAAGCTCGAATCTTTCCTAAACCACGTCCTGATGTACGCTGGGAAGCGTTTTGGATTTACTTATGGCGCCTATGAAGCTCGTACACTCCTCGCTGCATTAGACTACAACCTCCATAGCCATCGCCCAGTGCATGTGAGCAGCAAAGGCCAAGTATCGTAAGTCATACTTTATTATCAAGATACAGTATAAAAGCAATAAAGAAATATATTATTTCTACTGATGTCTACAGAAAAAGTCTTAGCGTTACACTGTGAAGGAGACTAAAGACTACAGCTCTATCCCAGACCAGCGCCTCAGCTCTGCTTGGGGGACTCTCAAAAAATGTAAGCAGATGACCCCAGGGCCATGGGTCCTCTGTCCTCATCATCCCTCTTCCTGCTGGGGACTCATGACCCCAGGGCCATGGGTCCTCTGTCCCTCCTCCTGCAGCTGAACTGGAGCGGACACAACAGAGGACAGGTAGTGATGATAATCAAGTGGGAAAAAAATCTCTATGATATAAAATATTTTTCTTTCTTTTTCTAGGACTTTTTTATCTGGTCCCTGAACAGAGGCTGACAGCAATCAAAGATGGACACAGCACATTTATTTATATTATGTCAAATATAATTTTTTTTCCCCCAAACATTGAAATAAAAGAAAGACTCATTTCTAAAGTGGTGAGTTGCATTTTAGTTTTAATTCCCTACTGTGGAACGAATAAAGGGGCGTCTTTATAACCCACATGTCCTGCTCTTCTCATTCTAGCCTGGCCTCTCCTCTGGCTGCTCCTCTTCCTCCTCTGGCTGCTCCTCTTCCTCCTCTGGCTGCTCCTCTTCCTCCTCTTCTTGCTGCTCGTCTGCCTCCTCCTCTCCCCCATTCAAAGTCACTGCTCTCAGAAACTACAGATTCAACTGGACTGGAGTCCTGGAAGGAAAAGCAAAAAGATTTAGATGTCATTGTTCTGGAATGTATGTTGTGTACAAACTTCATAGACAAATATTTTGAATTTATCAGAACAGTTGATATAGTTTTATACCTACAGACAACTTGTGTAGTATTAGTAGCAGACTAGGGCCAGTAATAACACTAATAAAAACAAAACAGTAACAGTGGTAATTATGCTGTATTTTCTATGGGAATAATAATGTTGCTAATGTTAGCTTGTCTTGGCTGCAAAATAACAGTGACTTCACTGATTTATGTTTATGAGTAGTAAATATACTACAAAAAGTCTCATGCTACACTAACCTAATAAGGCCCAATGAAAAGATGATTTTGGCTTGTCATGGAAGCATTTCTATCTGTGGAATTGTATTATTACAGTTAGGCTTACGTTTATATATACATAGTAAGTAAGTAAGTAAGGTTTATTTATATACCGCCTTTTCACTGCACATCGGAGTCTCAAAGCGGTTTACAATTGTTGGGTGGGGGTGCCAGTACAGGAGGCACATGCCATACCTATTGTACATATTTTTAGTGGTAGGGGAAACCGGAGCACCCGGAGGAAACCTACGCAGACACGGGGAGAACATGCAAACTCCACTCAGAAAGGCCCTGGTCCAACCGGGATTCGAACCCAGGACCTTCTTGCTGAGAGGCGAGAGTGCTATCCACTCAGCCACCGTGCCGCATAATAGACACTTTTTTTGTTCCCCTTTGAAATGTTAATTTGTGTGAATATAATGTGGCTTCAGGCTTTTGATAATTCACTTTGCTTTACATTTGCTGAAGTATCACATCTTGGAAAATATACACATTGATTTGGTCTAAATATCATACAAAACAGTAACATGTCTTACCTCTGTTGAAGTCATCCCCGCAAATCTGTAACTTATCGAGGACAGGACCATATCAGCTGTTGTTTATGTTCTGTTCCTCGTGCACGCGCCTCTCATTCAGGCTGCAGTTACACCTCTGGCCAGAGGGGGGTTCGTGAGCACAAAAATTGCAAACTCCGCAAGGCTCCTTTAAGGGCTCGACACACGGGAGGCGACATCGCATCGCCTCCATTCATTTTCAATGGGACGTGCGCGACATAGCGTCAATCGCTAGCGAGCCTCCTGCTCAGCGACGGGCGAAAAACGTGCGTGTGAAATCCTCCTGCTCGTGCATGTATCGTGCACGCGCAGGTCAGCGACGCGATCCCAGAAAGTTGAAATCGGCTCAACTTTTCGACGCTGTCGTCAAGCCGCATCGCGCCCCGTCTGTCATGTTATCTGAGCGACAGCGTTGAGTTTCGCTGATCGCTCTCATTTGTCGCCTCCCGTGTGTCGAGCCCATTAGGCATAAAGGGCTCGACACATGTCCAGGGAGGGAATGTCCAGAGCCTCTTACATATTCTCAACACTAGATGTCTCCAAATCACTCTGCTCTAATCTTGATAAAATCTTATTCAAATTCCTGTGGAAAAACAAAGCTCATAAAATAAAACAAACTGTTCTCACCAATTCTTTAGCTGAAGATGGATTGGACGTCTTTACTGTTTTAAATCAGATTTTAAAAATGGGATATAATTGTTTTTTTTAAATCCTAATTGTTTATGGAATGTCTTCCAAAATTATTTTTTTGGTAAGTTGGGAGGCCTGAATTTTCTTCTGCATTGTCCCTTTGCTGTTGGAAACTTCTTGTGAATTTAGCCAAGTTTCAGAAACAGGTTTTATTGTACTGGTCTTTACTTTACAAACACAGCTACTCGCCTCACAATTGCATTTTTGGAACAATGCTTACATCGTGCATAGAGGAAAATCCTTATATTTAGAGAACTGGTTTGACAAGAATATAAATACTGTGAAACAACTTTTAGATGATAATGGTGATTTTTATGATTATAAGGTTTTTATACCGTAGATAAGTACGATACTCAAATACCTGAGCATGAGTTTGATGTGGTTGTAAAGTCGATACCTCAAAGTATAAAAACATTTATTGAATCATATTTCATTGTATAAGAAATGGTAATCATTATTAATTTGATTATAATTGAAGTAGTAATAGTAATAATGCAATTAAAACAGTAGTAATAATAATAAAAAACTAATTATACTAAAATAATTATGCTAAAAACAGTTAAAAAAAAAAAATAATTAAAAAAAGCCCAGCAAAATGGTACTTCCGGAAGTGTTACGTCACATTCCGAGTCTACAGCACCATGGATGTATTATGTACAGCACGGATCTATAATAATAACGGTCTACAGTCCACAGTGTCCTTGGAAGATATTTATTATTATATATGCATGATTTTATTTTAAAATGCAAAACATTTATAAACAAGTGTCTTTTAGGAGCGAGAGACTTTACTACATCATACTGGAACTAACCGGAAGCCTCTAGTGCGCAGGCGCGGTGCCCCGTGGTGACGCAGAGAGCCTGTTTGGTGCAGTTCAGGTGGACTTTGGGTCAGCTGTGGTCAGTTGTAGTCAGTTCTGAGGCCGCTCTGTGTGCGCTTTAGTCGGTCACAAGGCCCAGAAGCCGCGGAGGAGCAGCCATGGCCGGCAGCGCTCTCAAGAGGCTCATGGCGGAGTACAAGCGTGAGTGTTTACCATGGATCTATTATAATAACGTGTTTACTAAGCACTGTCTCATATCACCAGCTCAAAAAGACAAGTTTATTTGTATAGCACATTGCATAAACAAGGCAACTTGAAGTGCTTTACAAAAGATACAATCACACAAGGCATTAGAATGATAATCACAGTACATTATAAAGATTATTACATTATAATACTTCAGTTGTATGGATAGCTAAACTGAACTGTTTTTAACCTGGATTTGAACATTGTCAGAGAAGAAGAAGACTTCCAGATTTTAGCTGCGTAAACCACTGGTGTTTGCAAGTTAGACAGTGTGCGGGTGTCATCCTTTTTTCATGATATTTTGCCTGAGGAAGGCCTGTGGCCGAAACGTTGCTAATAAACCACTGGTGTTTGCAAGTTAGACAGTGTGCGGGTGTCATCCTTTCTTTCATGTTTGGCCACCTTGTGCGCGCCCACTCCTACGCACCTGTCATAGAAGAGATGTGCGAAGTCTACCTCTTTTAGCTGCATACATTTGAAATGCTGCCACCCCATGTTTAGTCCTGATTCTGGTCACCAGGAGGAGGCGAGTCCCTGAACCGATTTGGTTCATATGGCACTAACATGTCACAGATGTACATTGGAGAGACTTGCTGCTTTAATGTCTATTCCGTAAAGTAATGATGATTATAATAATAAATCAATACATGTATAGCACAACACAGAGTTCATAAAGCACTGCCCAGTAAGTAAAGTCTTTACAACCCCTAACCCTAAACCGTTTGATATAATGTTTATTTCATGATGCTTGCGTGAATTATGTGTTTGTATTTCATGAATGAATGTGTATTCCTATCCTAGTCTGTCCAATGATCAGCCGCTGCCCGTCTGAAAATATGAAATTATGTTTATTATTTAATAATGTTTATTATTAAACTATTGAGTTGAGCCAATTACCACAAGGCAACACCAGAGTCGATCATCGTCATAAAGGGTAACTATTTTAACATTTGATAGAGCCAAACACGATGTGACTAAAAGGGTGTTTAGTTGAGTCACTACTAGTCATTCACTCCTGGCAGAAGTGAAGCAGTCATTAATATGAACAAAGCCACATACTTACATTCCAGGCCATTCTTACACCGACGTCTCCGTGTCAGCTGAGCACAATATTTAGACACAAAACGGTTCCAAATAATTATAATAACAACACGTGTGTAACGTGTCTGTAAGATGTGTCACTGTTGCGTTTCAGAGCTGACGCTGAACCCGCCGGAGGGAATTGTAGCAGGTGAGACCTCTCTCTCTTCGTGCAAGTGCGCGTGCATGCATGTATGTACGTTTGAATGTATGTATGTGTGCGTGCGCGTGTCTGTGTGTGTGTTTTTTTTAATTAGAGTTGTTAGGGCCAATCCCCAACTTTTCCAGGGAGGACCATCAGAATAAGTACGAAGCCGACATGAGTCATATTGTACAAAATCGACTTTTTAAAACTTTTAACCATGTTCTTCATATAAAAAGTAAATAACGGCTTTAATTAATGAAATTTCACTCAAAAGATAGAGAAAGATTAGACCAGAGCAGAATCTGTCTGACACAATTGGATCAGACTGTCCACGGTGTGTTAAACTCCTGGAGGATCCATAATGTGAGAAGGACCACAATAAAACACCTCAGTCTGGGCATCAGGGGCATTTATTCTCTCAAATATCCACAATGTTATGGTGGTGTCGGTGCCTTTTATCGCTAACTTGCCAGAGTCGAAGATTTTATACTTAATTCTTGCGTCTTCAATATGCTAAAGTTGGAGATTTTAGCCGTGCTTCTTTATTACGCTGAAGCTAGAGACTGAGATTGTTGTTGCGATTATTACTGAGAGCCCTTTCTAGATCTTATATTCAGCATAGAAAACCAAATACCTCGTCCTTTGGGATACAGAGCTCCTTGTGTATCCGCTGCTGCTGTGAATATTGAATGAAATGACTTCATAAATGTACAGTGATGGTCGATGTGATGAGTGCTCCCTCTGTCCTCAGGTCCAGCCAACGAGGAGAACTTCTTTGAATGGGAGGCGCTCATCATGTGAGTCCACTGAGATAGATAGAAACTTTATTGATCCCCGTAGGAGAAATTCAGGTGTCCAGTAGCAGCAAAACAAAAACAAAAACAGCAGCAGGGGGTTGCGTAGCCTCTGGGTGGAGCAGGACGGGTCACAGCAGCAGAGATTGCGTAGCCTCTGGGTGGAGCAGGACGGGTCACAGCAGCAGAGATTGCGTAGCCTCTGGGTGGAGCAGGACGGGTCAGAAGGTGGAGTAACAAGATAGGATTAGATGTTCCTTTACTCGTCCTGCAGTGGGGAAATTTCAATGTCGTTGCGCACATTACAGCAGAGAAAAACAAGGAAGTAATAGCACTCACATCGTACACATCTAACAGGCTCTTTTTAAGATGAATTCTTTAATTTTCTCCCCCATTATTAGTCCATTTGTGGGTGGGTGGGGGTGGGGTTGGCAATGGGATCTGCCGCCCAATGCTCATAGCACCAGTGCCTTCGCTGATCCTCCGGCAGGTGTTGGGTCTACAGGAAGATGGCTGCCCCTCTGTTAGCGGGGGCTTCGGGCAACGTGGGGTTAAGTGTCTTGCCCAAGGACACAATGACAGAAGACATGAGTGGGAGCAGTTGGCGGGTTCGATCTACCAACTGAGCCACTGTCGCCTCCTTGTTAAATATAATAGATATTAAAATGAAAATATTTAGTAATATTATGATGAGATAAAATAAAATAAAACTCTGGAGCTATAATTGCACTTGGTTCAGAAGTATTTGCAGATGTGTATGTTGTACTTTAGCAGCAGAGAATATGAGCAGAATAAACAATAGTAAGAATAGCAGCAGGTAAAGTGACTGGTGAATGACAGAAATATCAGATGAATGGATATGAAGTAATGCAGTAATAATAATAACAGGTAAAGTGACTAGTGACTTATTATCAGAACAGGTGAGTGACACAGACTCAGCAGTTACTCGTTATACAGTCTGGCAGCAGCAGGGAATTCAATACAAGTGATTATTTGGTCAAAATAACTTAATGAGTTTGATATAATTGAATATATTTAAATGAACAAAACGAGACCCTGAATTCAGGGTTCAATGTTTATGCTCAAAATAATGTTGTGGTTGTTTTCTTTATAATTATGTATAACATGCCCAGAATCTAAGTGAGGGCCGCATTGACAGTAAAGTTTGACGTCCACTAGGGGGCAACAAAATGTCTTTAGATACATAAACCAAATATTTCCAAGGCTTTGATGGCGGTTTCTGTCATTACTGTATTTCTGTGGGTGTTTAGCAAATGGTTCAAATCTCATTACAGTGTTGTGTGTTTGTGTGTGTGTGTGTCTGTGTCTGTGTGTGTTTGTGTGTGTGTGTCCTGCAGGGGGCCCCAGGATACGTGCTTTGAAGGCGGTGTGTTCCCAGCTGTGCTCAGCTTCCCCTCAGATTACCCCCTGAGCCCCCCCAAGATGAGGTTCACCTGCGACATGTTCCACCCCAACAGTGAGTATGCCCTCTACTGCTCTCTACTGCCCCCTACTGCTCTCTACTGCCCCCTACTGCTCTCTACTGCCCCCTACTGCTTTCTACTGCCCCTTACTGCCCCCTACTGCCCCCTACTGCTTTCTACTGCCCCCTACTGCCCCCTACTGCCCTCTACTGCCCCGAATTCTCCCCTATTGTTCCCTACTGCCCAGGACTGAGGCTGCACACCCAGGACTGAGGCTGCAGACCCAGGACTGAGGCTGCAGACCCAGGACTGAGGCTGCAGACCCAGGACTGAGGCTGTAGACTCAGGACTGAGGCTGCAGACCCAGGATTGAGGCTGTAGACCCAGGACTGAGGCTGCAGACCCAGGATTGACGCTGAGCTAGGACCGAGGCCACATGATGCAGGACTGATCTGCTCCCAGGCTGGAAAATTTGTGGTGTACTGTGCTATTCTAAAGACAATAAATCCAGAAAAAAATACTGGTTCTGCCAATTGGAGGTTATTATAACCGTAGAAATGACTGTCAGTGTGCCCCAGGGCAGCTGTGGCTACAACAGTAGTTTATCACCACCGTGTATGAAGTGAAAAAATAATGACATGTGAAGCGTCTGTGAAGTGTCCAAAAAACCAAGTTTATTTGTAGAGCGCCTTTCATACACATGGCAACACAAAGCGCTTCACAGTCCACATCACAAATCATCACATAAAACAAACACCAGAATCACAATTAAAACATTAAAATCACACAAAAGATTAAAACACAATTAAAACATTAAAATCACACAAAAGAATAAAACCATTAAAACTTTCAAAATTACACAAGAAATTTAAAAAAATAAATAAATGACAGCAGTGCATTAAAAATGGAGATAAAATCCTTCAGTTGTATGCACAGGCAAACAGAACAGTCTTTAACCTGGATTTGAACATTGACAGAGTAGACGCCTCCCTCACATTTTCAGGGAGATTGTTCCAGATCTTAGCTGCATGGATCTGAAACGCAGCCTCCCCATGTTTGGTTCTCACTCTGGGCACCAGCAGGAGGCCAGTCCCTGTGCTCCTCAGAGTCCGGGCTGGTTCATATGACACCAACATGTCACTAATGTATTCTGGTGCAAGGCCATGGAGAGACTTGTACACAAGCAGAGCCGTTTTAAAATCTATTCTTTGAGCCACAGGAAGCCAGTGCAAAGACCTGAGGACCGGACTAATATGGTCATACTTCCTGGTTCCTGTCAGGACTCTAGCTGCTGCATTTTGGATGTACTGCAGCTGCTTACAGGTCTGTTTGGACAGACCTGTAAGCAGGCCATTGCAGTAGTCTAGCCTGCTGGAGACAAATGCATGGACAAGAATCTCCAAGTCTGCCCTGGACACTATATTTCTAACTTTGGCAATGTTCTTCAGATGGTAAAAAGCTGTTGATGTTATTGATTTTATGTGGCTATTGAAATTTAGGTCTGAGTCCAGTATTACCCCCAAATTTCTGACCTTGTCTGAAGGAAGTAGGGAGAGAGACTGAAGTTGACAAATGACGCCCTCTCTTTGTTTCTGGGGACCAAAGACAATGATTTCGGTTTTGTCTGTATTTAGCTGGAGGAAATTATTTTGCATCCAGTCACTGATCTGTTGGATACAGTGAAGGAGCAAATCCAGTGGTCCATGTTCTCCTGCAGTCAGTGAGACATAGATCTGAGTGTCGTCAGCGTAATGATGAAAGCCAGATTAAGTCTCTTTTACCCTAAATAGTTTGACTATGATCAATAATACGCTTTGAAGCGACTGAGCATTTCCATGGAATCAGTAGAAGGTAAATGTTTGAAATGACCTGTTGTGAACCTGGGACTATCCACTGATGTTTGAGGCCTTTTATTGGACTGTAAATAATGAACCCAAAACACAGATGCAGTTTTGTTTCAGTCGGATCATGGCTGCACTTGTTTTATTCCGGAAAACCAAAAATTCAATTTCTGTGGAACGAATAAAGAATCTGTTCATCTAAAAATCAGGCTGGAGCCTGAGGCCGGGATCACAGACCTGTCCCTGGGATCACAGACCTGTCCCTGGGATCACAGACCTGTCCCTGGGATCACAGACCTGTCCCTGGGATCACAGACCTGTCCCTGGGGTCACAGACCTGTCCCTGGGGTCACAGACCTGTCCCTGGGATCACAGACCTGTCCCTGGGATCACAGACCTGTCCCTGGGGTCACAGACCTGTCCCTGGGGTCACAGACCTGTCCCTGGGGTCACAGACCTGTCCCTGGGGTCACAGACCTGTCCCTGGGATCACAGACCTGTCCCTGGGGTCACAGACCTGTCCCTGGGGTCACAGACCTGTCCCTGGGGTCACAGACCTGTCCCTGGGGTCACAGACCTGTCCCTGGGGTCACAGACCTGTCCCTGGGGTCACAGACTTGTCCCTGGGGTCACAGACCTGTCCCTGGGGTCACAGACCTGTCCCTGGGATCACAGACCTGTCCCTGGGATCACAGACCTGTCCCTGGGGTCACAGACTTGTCCCTGGGGTCACAGACCTGTCCCTGGGGTCACAGATCTGTCCCTGGTGTCACATATCTGTCCCTGGGGTCACAGGCCTGTCCCTGGGGCAGGGGCAGCTGTTCTCATGACTGCATGTGTCATGTCCCAGGCCTGTGTTTGTCTCACACCTGTGGTTAACTGCATGTGTCACTGTGATGTCACACATTTAGTCACTGTAATTACAGGAGCAGGACCTCGCTCTGTGTCCTCCGTGTCCTCTGTGCTCACACGGAGGACACGGAGGACACGGAGGACACTGAGGACACTGAGGACACTGAGGACACTGAGGACAATGAGGACACTGAGGACACTGAGGACACTGAGGACAATGAGGACACTGAGGACACTGAGGACACTGAGGACACGGAGGACAATGAGGACAATGAGGACACTGAGGACACTGAGGACCATGAATATTTTCAATGACAGACATGGATAAAGGAGTCCACATAAACCACCATGGTCCAAGAGCGTTCTGATCGGATGTGCTTCCATTCTCACCTGTGATTGGCTCTGTGCTTCCATTCTCACCTGTGATTGGCTGTGTGCTTCCATTCTCACCTGTGATTGGCTGTGTGCTTCCATTCTCACCTGTGATTGGCTGTGTGCAGTCTACCCAGACGGGCGAGTGTGCATCTCCATCCTCCACGCTCCGGGAGACGACCCCATGGGCTACGAGAGCAGTGCGGAGCGATGGAGTCCAGTGCAGAGTGTGGAGAAGATCCTGCTGTCAGTTGTTAGCATGCTAGCAGGTACAGACAGACACACGCACACACACAGTGCTTTCTGGTGTGCCCTGGTTTTTCACTGTGAGTGTGTTTTATCCAGAACCCAACGATGAGAGCGGAGCCAACGTCGACGCCTCCAAAATGTGGCGCGAAAACAGGGAGCAGTTCTACAGACTGGCTCACAGCATCGTGCGCAAGTCCTTGGGCTTTTAACACACACACGCTGGACTGGAAACACACACACATACACACACAAACACTACACACTCTTGCAGCATCTTTAAAGACCTGCCATGACTGTAATGACACGTGTAGATCTGGAGATGTGAGATCAGACCCTGAGAAGGTCCCAAATGAAATCAAACATGTTCAAACATGTTTCATATTAATTAAATTGAGTTTTTGTTCTGAAATAGAAAGGCGTTGGGAGTGCTCCAACCTCAAACATACACAGTTACAATCACTGAGTCTGTGGAAATATGAATCTCTCAATGAATCACAGATATACAGTTCACTTAAATAAATGTCTTATTTTTAAATAAACATTTGTCTTTTGCTCCTTTTGTTGACTCTTATTTCAGTGAAGATTAGTTCCTCTTATATTGTGTTTAGGCACAAAGGTTATTTAAATACTATAATGATACAAATGAATAAAACTATTACATGTTGATTTACACTAATGTGTGGTGAGGACTTTTCAAAGTTGTCAAATTGCCAATAGATCATGTTATCAAATTGTTTGAATACAAGTAATGCAATAAAAACAAACAATAGGACAATTGGTCCATAGCGGCACAACCGCTGTCCTCTTGTCCCTGTCACTGTCCCTCCTGCATCAGAGAGGAACCACTCAAAAACCCAGGAACAACTCAGAAAGCTTGGGGAAGCCCACATTGAGAGGGATCTGCTCCCACTGATGAACAGGCTGGGGCAGACCCTTCCACAGGTGCAGTTTACTTTAATCCAATATCACCTACAAAATAATTAGAAGTTAAGAATCTTTGCACTTCTCTGATTATATAAATACACTTTGATGAGAATTTATTTGTTTTGTTAACAAAAGATCCAGGATAATGAAGATCAGCTTCAAAGGTGTGCTGCGGCTCAAAAAAGTTGGGGAACACTGGGTCAGACTACTGTAACGGCTGCTCTCTGGTCTCTTCAAACAAGCTATAACAAAGCTGCAGTAAATTCAAAGTGCTGCAGCTTGGGTCCTGACTAGAACCAGGAAGTCCTCTCACATTAGTCCAGTCCTCAGGTCTCTGCACTGGCTCCTGTGGCTCAGTGAATAGACTTTAAATCAGCTCTGTTTGTCTTTCCATGGCCTCGCACCAAAGTACATTAGTGACATGTTAGTGCCATATGAACCAACTCTGAGGAGCACAGGGACTGGCCTCCTGCTGGGACTCTGAGGAGCACAGGGACTGGCCTGCTCAGAACTAAACAGGAGCATTTTGGATTTATGCATCTAAAATCTGGAACAGTCTTCCTTAAAATGTGACACAGGTTTCTTCTCTGACAATTTTCAAATCCAGGTTAAAACAGTTCTGTTTCGCTGTAAAAACTGAAGGATTTTATCTTCATAAAATGTACTGTGATTATTTATGATTTCAATGCCCTTGTATTGTTTCTATCTTGCAGCTTGCGTTGCCTTCTATATTAACTGAGCAATACACAAATGAACTTGCCTAATGCCAAAGTGAGACCTTTGGGTCCAGCTCCCTGTGGTCCCCATCTGGTCTCTTTAATGTTAAGTGTCCCTGGTCTCTCTGTCATCTTTCTGGTCTCTCTCTGGTCTCTCTCCGGGCTCTCTCTGGTCTCTCTCTGGGCTCTCTCTGGTCCCTCTCTCTGGTCTCTTTCTGGTCCCTCTCTCTGGTCTCTCTCTGGGCTCTCTCTGGTCTCTCTCTGGGCTCTCTCTCGTCTCTGGGCTCTCTCTGGTCTCTCTCTCTGGGCTCTTTCTGGTCTCTTTCTGGTCCCTCTCTCTGGTCTCTCTCTGGTCCCTCTCTCTGGTCCCTCTCTGGGCTCTCTCTCGTCTCTCTCCAGTTTCTCTCTGGGCTCTCTCCAGTCTCTCTCTGGTCTCTCTCTGGGCTCTCTCCAGTCTTTCTCTGGGCTCTCTCTCTGGGCTCTCTCTGGTCTCTCTCTGGGCTCTTTCTGGTCTCTGTTCTTTGGGTGTGTGTTTAGTGGGCGTTGTGAGCCACTTGAGATGCTGAAAAGAGTTGCTTTGTTCCAGAGTCTGTAGTTCTGCAGTGTTTGATGAAACCACAAATACAGTTGATTTTAATAATGACCATAAAAATGGAATTAAACCTTTGATTAAAAGTCTTTTAAAGGAGACTTAACACAGTGCTTCCAAAAAAGTACATTTGGAAACATTATTTAGGAGTCTTTGCTATTTGATAAATAATAAAACACAAAATACTGCAAGTATTCATGGATCAGGAATGGAGGCTCCTCAGACACTTTGAGGGTTTCCAGCCGTAATTCAGCACAATAATAAAGATATGAAACGTTGTCTTATGAAAATATATATTGTTCCTAAAGGCTGAATGTTAGTGAGCACTTCTTCTTTGTTCATATAATCCACTAATAGTTCAGTTACGCAGAGCCAAAGGTCTCTGGTTCAAATCCTGCTCCTGACATGAACATTGAGTATAAAGACACACTGAGGCGCAGATATAAAGCTCCTTTTACTAATGCTGCTGTTGTGTCTTTGGGCAAGAGCATTATTCTCACGGTGGGGCGGACTGACAGAAGGAAAGCAACAGCTGGCAACCCCTCTGGACACCACCCACACAACAACAGTTGTGAGGTTAAAATATTTATCAGCAAATAATCAAAGAAACATTGTTATATACATCCTGTACACACACTGTTGTCTTCACTGTCAGCTGTGGAGTGGGGGGGGGGGAGCGGAGGGGGGGAGGGTGTAGAGCAGGACACTCCCCCTCCCTCTGCTGTCACCTGTGGCTCAGAGCACTGAGGACACACACATGTTCAGAGACATGAGCCCAGGCATGTCGCTCTGATGGTCCTCACCAGCCACCTCCCAGAGCGAGTGAGCAGCCTCCTCCCATACCAGGTGAGGATACACACCAGGAGAGCACACACACTAGGTGAGGACAAACAAATCAGGTGAGGACACACACACACCAGGTGAGGACACACACTTTTATTACAACACTTGAAAACGGTTGCCTTCTTCGTTAAAAGGGAAACTTCTATATAAAATGAGCAATAGCTAAATGTCACCCCTGAACACTCGCAACCCTCTTTCTGCGCTCTGATTGGATAGTACGGATATGTCAGTATAAATTAAATGAAGAATAACAGTTTAGACTTTTGTTCGGGAGAAGTGTACATTATTATCTGGAGACACATCAAATTATAGACTCCCACAGATGTCTGCTGTCGTTGTGTCCTTGGGCAAGACACTTAACCCCACTTTGCCCGAAGCCCTCACTGCAAGACCAAGGTTCTGCTCTCACAGACAGAGCAGCCATCCTCCTCTGTGAGCTCTGCAGGAGGATCAGTGAGGGGCTGGTGCTGTGAACTGGGTGCAGCTCTGACTGCCACCCCCCAGACCCAGAAATGGATTAAGGGGAAGAAAATGGATGGATGACATACAGTCTCTAATGAAAATATTACATAGATTCCCCTTTTAAATGGAACAGAGCTTTTGAATTCCTGTAATTGAACCCGGAATAATCATTACCATTTGTATTCATACTGTAACGTTCATAAAAACCCTAAACCCTACAACATGGTTTGTTATTACCATTTATTTTGTTTTGTGTTTATTTATGTCCAGAACCTTAAACCAAAGTATAGTCCGCTAAGTAAAACCACATCCATACATATAATATCTCAGTATTTACAGTCGTCCCTTTACAACTCGGTTCTCCTCGTCTTTCTCAGTCATATCTACTGTGTTAAACAGAGAGATCATACTGTATATTAGGAACATCATATATCCGCTAAAACATGACCTTCAGAGAGAAGAAAACATGTGTGGTTTGTGAGCCTCGCTGTGAGGAGTTCAGAGGAGGGTCTTCCTTTAGCCCTCAGTCCTGCTCCTGAACCTTGCAGCTGTATTATACCGCATATGCACGGCTTTTGACAGCTGCAGCTGCTTAGACCTACGACCAACAGGTTTAATGTATCTGCAATCGCAGCAGTGGTGAGTTCAGGTGGTTAGAAAAGTGTTTTACAGCCTTAAAACAAACAGCTGCTACTGAGAGGATTTAAATGATTGTGGGTTATTTTAAGAATGTCTTGCCTCTAAATTGTTTGTCACATTACAGTTGGAGTCTTGTTTGTGTGGGTTTGGTCGGGCCCCTGCTGAAGCCCGGATGCTGGCAGGGCCTCACACGCCCAGGATGAGGGCCCCTGGAGTGGCGTGCAGCTGAGAGCCTCATGTCAGAGCGGGATGTGGGCTTCTCTCTGCTCTGTTCTGCTGCTGCAGCTGTGGAGCGCCTGGGGCCTGGAGCACAGCTGGAGGGCCTGCACAGGTATCACCATTCAATTCAATTTATTTGTGTATCGCTCTAAACCACAACAGTAGTTATCTCGGTGGACTTTTCAAAGCTGTCGACACAGATCAGAGAATCAAACTGTTCAAAAACAATAAATGCAATGGTCACAAACACAGAGACATTGGTCCAAAAGGGGCAGAGACCAATGTCCAGAAATGTGAATAAAGTCCATACATGTCGCTGAATGTCACGTGTCCTGGATCATCACCACTGTCCTTATACCATCCTCCATACACAGGGCATTCAAACCATAAATGATAACAGTACATTTAAAAGAAAGATACAAATATAAAACCCCTCAGTTTTATGCACAGCTAAACAGAACTGTTTTAAACCTGGATTTTAGCAGCATGAATCTGAAATGCTGCCTCCCCATGTTTATTTCTGACTCCTACATTAACTTGAATTTTTCGACAAACAAGACTGCAAAAAAAACACAAATAGGTAGTGAAAGCAGAATGATGATAATTTAAAAAGTAATCATTCATTTAATACTATCTATTCACTTATAACTCCGGTCTCTGACTCGCTGGCCTCATATTTGCCCGATGTATCTACTCCCCCAGGTGTCTTCAGCTCCTCCAGAGTAACCACTGTCCTCGTTCTTACATCTGTGATCAGTTTGTCCTTGTCAGAGCTGTGAGTGAGGGCAGACAGCAGTGTCTTGGTAGATTTGCAGTTGTAACATACTCCAGTGTCCATTTCTGAAGACTGCTCTGCGAGATGTTTGTATAATCTCACCGTGCTTCAACACAGTTATCATTTCCTTCTGTACCTCTCCCTCTGTCTGTATCTCTCCTTAAATCTCTGAATATATCTCTCGTTTGCAATCGCTGTTGGCATCAGGCCGCTGAGTTGAAGAATGAAATATGAATGAACTTCAAACCATGAGTATCTCCGTTCTTAACTTGGTAATACGAACATGAATCCTTGGTGCACGGACCATCCTCCCTGACCTCTCTGGTCTGCTCCATGGCCTTCATGATACTGTTTAGTGACCAATACACTCTGAGCCGAGAGTGTATTGGGCGGCACGGTGGCTGAGTGGATAGCACTCTCGCCTCTCAGCAAGAAGGTCCTGCGTTCCAATCCCGGTCAGAACGGGGTCTTTCTGAGTGGAGTTTGCATGTTCTCCCTGTGCTTGCGTAGGTTTCCTCCGTGTACTCCGGTTTCCCCTACCCCTAAAAACATGCACACTAGGTTAAATCCTTCAACCCTTAACCCTGACCAAGCCGTGCATCAACATCTATTGGTTCCCGGGCGCTGTTACTACGGCGACCACTGCTCCTGATGTAAGCCTTAGCGGCCTCAGGATGGGTCAAATGCAGAGGATGGATAGCCCTACAGGGATCAAAAAAGTGCACCTTTACCTTTACAAATTCTATAACGCACCGGGAGCCAGTGGACGGATGCTAATATGGTGATTATAACAACAGTGAAACGGTGGCGTTGGTATCGGTTTGGCCTTTTGTTTACATGAAGACGTTGTTTAAGGTGAAATAGAGTTGAGAAACTGCCTCCAAAGTGGAACAGAGCAGATACACTGCTCAGAGGGGGCGGTTTCACAGCCGTGTGAAGAAAAAGGTGTGGATTCTCTGCTGCTATGACCTCACCACAGGATGGTCCAAAAGTCGCCTCTTGGCTCAACGCTATGTTTTAGATGCGTGTCAATGCTGAGGGAAGTGTATTTTTTTGGACCAGTCTAGTTTAGTTGCAGTGGAATTTTGAAGGCACTCGACAAATGAATGGGGCTAGTGCAGCTGACGAATGCGCAAATGCATTTATTTTCACATTTTCCAGGCCTGCGGCTAATTTGAAACTGCCCATAGAAGCAAAAAGTGGTGGCACATTAGTTTCAACGGCAGAGATAGGCCTGACTACGTCCGTTAAGATTAAGAGATCCTTTATTCGTCCCACAGTGGGGAAATTTCAGTGTTGCATCACAAGTTATAGAACAGTAGGAATGAGGAGCACAAGTTAAGTGAACAATAGCCATACTAATACAAAGTAAAACAACATCTCTAACTCTAGCATCAATAAAAGTATAAAAACTCAATCTTGAAAATAATAATACAAAGAAGTGTAAAAGTTTTACATTTGGCAAAATAAGAGGCAAGTATAAAGTACTGTGTATTCTAGTGCAAGCAAAGTGTAGTTATATGTTAGAATCTGTACATTAGCAGCAGTATGTTTACATCTGTGCATTAGCAGCAGTATGTCTACATCTGTGTATTAGCAGCAGTATATTTACATCTGTGCATTAGCAGCAGTATGTTTACATCTGTGCATTAGCAGCAGTATGTTTACATCTGTGCATTAGCAGCAGTATGTTTACATCTGTGCATTAGCAGCAGTATGTTTACATCTGTGCATTAGCAGCAGTATGTTTACATCTGTGCATTAGCAGCAGTATGTCTACATCTGTGCATTAGCAGCAGTATGTTTACATCTGTGCATTAGCAGCAGTATGTTTACATCTGTACATTAGCATGAGGCTCTGGGACACAGTGACTCAGTAAAGTGACAGTGACATGTGGTTGTTGTACATTCTGATATAGTAAGTTAAGGATTTTTCAACGATGCATGACACGTGGGATCAAGTTGGCAGTGTTCATTAGTCCTTATTGTTTATTGTACAGTCTGACAGCAGCAGGAAGGAAAGACCTGCGGAACCTCTCCATCACACATCAAGGATGAATAAGTCTGTCACTAAAGCTGCTCGCCAGAGCAGAGAGAGTGTCCTGCAGGGGGTGACAGTCATGGTCCAGCATAGATGTTAGTTTGCTCAGGACCCTCCTGTCCCCCACCTGCTGCACTGTGTCCAGGGAACAGCCCAGGACTGAGCTGGACTTCCTGATGACCTTGTCCAGCTTCTTCCTGTCCCTCTCTGTGATGCTGCTTCTCCAGCAGACCACACCGTACAAGAGGCTGATGCCACCACAGAGTCATAGAAGGTCTTCAGGAGTGGCCCCTGCACTCCAAAAGACCTGAGCCTCTTCAGCAGGTAGAGGCGACTCTGGCCCTTCTTGAAGAGGGCGTCTGTGTTATGAGTCCAGTCCAGTCTGTGGTTCAGATGAACACCCAGGTACTTGTAAGAGTCCACTCTCTCCATGTTCTTTCCCTGGATGTACACTGGGGCTGGAGCGGCAGAGTGACGTCTGCGGAAATCCACCACCTTCTCCTTGGTCTTCCCCGCGTTGATGAGGAGGTGGTTCCGCTGACACCAGTCCACAAAGTCCTGTATAACTCCTCTGTACTCTGTGTCATCGTCCTCGGAGCTGAGTCCGATGATGGCAGAGTCGTCAGAACTTCTGTAGAACACAACCGTTCGTGTTGTGTCTGAAGTCTGCAGTGTAGAGGGGCCCTGGGGCGCCCCCACACTGTAGGTCCAGGACCTCAGACACAAAGTCCCTGGTTCTCACAAACTGGGGTCTGTCTGTGAGGTAGTCCAGGATCCACTGGGACAGGTCGTAGTCCACTCCAGCTGTCTCCAGCTTGTCCCTAAGAAGCCTCGGCCGGATGGTGTTGAAGGCGCTGGAGAATATTTACAGTCTATGGTTAAAACCAGTGAGAAGTCAAATGTGTAAACAAACTTGTGCAATCCTCACTTTGTATGTATCTTTTAGATTTCACTTCACAGTTGTCTGTTACTTTGTAATTTGGTTGTCGGTAAAAAAATCCATACAGGAAAAGCTTGGTTTGTTGCCGTAACATGACAACATGTGTTCAAGTATCAGCTGTATTAATACTTTAGCACAACACTGCACATAGAGAAGGTGACCAGAGACAAAGTGATTAGAAGTGTGGCGAGTGTGAGCCGTGTCTGGACTGGTGCTGTGTTTGAAGCTAAGTGCTGTGTGTACACTGCGTCTGCCCAGTGTCTCATGTGGGGACGTCTTTGAAACCAGAGCCTGGAGCCTCCCTGCATTCATCCTCCAGCAAACAGCCACACGAGGGGAAAACCCGCACTCCACATCACAAACAAACTGCAGCTACTTTGTGCTGATCATAAAGCAGATGAAAAGAGACTAATGTGTTGTGTTCAGAGCTGCAGCCCCTGGACCTGTTAGCCTCAGCCTCAGCCTCAGCTCCACCCACACAGGTAAAGCTGACACACACACACCCACACACACACACACACACACACGTACACACACACACACACACACACTGTTTGACCCTAAGCTACACGAACATGGAGCAGTTAGAAATGAACTCGAGCTGCTTTTACAACATGTCCGAGTCTGACCAGTCGGACAAACATCTCAGACAATGAACTCTTTAGAAACTACATTCAAGACAATGTCATAGTCTCAGCCGCTGAGAACTAGTTTCAATCAACGCATTAAACAAACTTAATTAATAATAAATATTCTTTTTATTATCATTATGTTATGCTCTGTTGTTATGTAGAGATGTCATATAGTGATGTCATGTTGTGATGTCCTACTGTGAAGTCATGGTGTGAAGTTATGTTGTGATGTCACACTCAGGTCCAGCTGGTGCAGTCTGGAGGCTCCCGTGGGTTGCGTCTCGCTGCAGGACTCAGTTTCCCTGCAGCTCTGCTCTTCTCCTTCTGCGAGTTCTTCCCACAAGAGTTCTCCATCGTCACCACATTCAAGCAGCAGCCTCTCCGAGACAAGGTGAGGGGGGAGGAGGTGAGGGTGTGAGGGTTAGGGGCAGTGGGGGTGAGGGTGGGGGGCGGTTGGGGCAGGGTGGTTTTCAGTCATTGGTGTCTTAGTTGTATATTTCTATGACGTAGACTTCTGTTTTTGAATCTACAGATGTCTGAGCCACAAAAGTTGGACCTAATCATTATTTTCCTTTGGGATTTGAACAAAGCAAACTTGAGCCAGGAGCCCAAACCCAGACAGTCACACGCATCACACACCGACCAGAGAACACACTGCATCACTGCGACTCTCAGTAGAGCTTCCCGAGCCGTGCCTCAGACCATGATCCTTCTGATCCCTGTGTACAGAGACTAAATCTGTGGGGAGAACTCTAAGGTGTGGAGGAACTACTGATGACGACCTTTTTACAGCTGTGTGCACGGACAATGTGACATCATACAGTCTTTTCTGTGAGGACAGCATTATTCCGACAAAGACCAGGGTTATTTATAACAAAGACAAAGGGTGAATAGCAATGAACAGACGATAATTGAAGTCGTAAAGATGACAGATAAAGTAGGGGAGAGGAGATCAGCTCCATGTTTTAAAGTGTGTGCGGGTTTTTTGTTCACAGAGGGCCCAGTGGCTGCTGTCCCTGCAGGAGGAGGCCCCTGGGGACCGGTTGCTGATGGGCCTGCGTGTCTCCAGGGGCCGGCTGCACTTCCTGTTCCTCCAGCCGGACTTTGGGCGCAGGCGGAGGGTCACTTTCAGAGAGGTGGTCCTGGATGACGCTCGCTGGCACACGCTCAGTCTGGCCGTGACGGGACATTACTTCAGCCTGACTGTGGACTGCACTCTGCTGCTCCACATGTGAGTCTGAGTCTAATAGGGTTAGCTCTGCTGCTCCACATGTGAGTCTGAGTCTAATAGGGTTAGCTCTGCTGCTCCACATGTGAGTCTGAATCTAATGGGGTTAGGGTTAGCTCTGCTGCTCCACATGTGAGTCTGAATCTAATGGGGTTAGGGTTAGCTCTGCTGCTCCACATGTGAGTCTGAGTCTAGTAGGGTTAGCTCTGCTGCTCCACATGTGAGTCTGAGTCTAATGGAACTCCCAAAAAACTAAATATGACTACTTTTCATTTTGGAAGTATAATTATTCCGCTTATGTATGTTTTTGGTCTGCTTATCTTTGAAGAAACTTTTTTTGTCTTTCTATAGATACATGAGTGAATGAGTGAATATTGTTTTATTATTGCGTCTACAGGACAGATTAATAACATATTAATAACAGGGTACAATATCTAGCTTATTTGAATAAAACAAGTAGCCAATTTCAACACATTGGAATTAAACAAACATTTTAGCTTATCGTCATCACTGCTCCAAAACAGTACAGGTTTTTTAACAAACAGACCACTAAACAGAAGATTACGAAGATCATCATAAAAAGGACAATACAAAACAAAATGTGTTTCATTTTTCTACCTCTTCTAAATCACAAAGTTTACAAAGTTGGTCTTCTTTAGGAGTCTGAGTAAACCTTCTCGGTTCTAAGGCCAGGGGTAGGGTTCCAGAACCTAATCCTTCTTCAAATGTTGACATTAATTTTGTTCTAATTTTGTTGACATTGCAGGGCAGATTATTATGAAATACATACAGTACTGGAGACGTACCTCAGCAAATACAATGCAAACCTCAGCTGCCCAGGGAGACATAGTGGTACTCCAAATAAAGATTTTTTTTGTAAATCTACAGTATTTCACAGACAGATTCATTATTTTATTCCATAACCAATCTATTTCACATTTCCTTTGAACTGTACCAGGAACCCAGCCCATGTCCCCCTGTGCTGCCAAAACAGGAACAGACTTATGTACCCCCAGAAAACAGCAGATTGCTCGTTTTCAACAGCATCCAAGGTTGAACACTGCGTCCCCCCACACACAAGCAGCATAGTTCAACACAGGAGACACACATGCCATGTACAACTGAGAATATGTACCATAACCAAGAGCTGAGAATATGTACCATAACCAAGAGCTGAGAATATGTACCATAACCAAGAGCTGAGAATATGTACCATAACCAAGAGCTGAGAATATGTACCATAACCAAGAGCTTTACAACACTTTAATTTGTTTATTACAGAACCCAGAGCTCTGCTGGCTGAAGGAGCCAGGAGTTTAACTCCTTTATTGAAGTCCATAAATTCATCAAACACAAATCCCAGATATTTATATTGGACTGCATACTCAAGATTGACATTCCAAAATGTAAAAATATTGATACTACGAGGAGTAGCTCTTCTCCTAAAATGCATTATTTGAGTTTGTTCTTGATTTATGGCAAGTCTCCATCTATAACACCAATAAAGTATCTATCTAAACAGGGATATACAGGGAATGTGCGGATGATATTGATGTATCATACTGGAGGGTGTTACTGCTGCGCTCTGACCAATCAGAGCAGTTCATCAGAGCGTGAGTTAAAGCGGGAGCCAGACGAGTAGAGTTTGTGGCAGTGAAGTGTGGATTTAAAAAAAACCGAAGGATTTAAGAAGAAAAAAAGTTCAGGATGACAAGGGACACTAAAATCCCCACAAAATCCGACCTTTATTAAAGCTGTAGGTTCTCTGTCAGCTGAGGTTGAGCTGTTTTAATTTACATTGAGTTCTATGGGGAAATTTTCTGGGTAGCCCACGTGAATTTAGTCTGGTTCAGTCTGCAGTACCGCGAGAATGCCCCGAGCATATGGTTCTTCAGCTCCAAGCTAGTAATACCCTATCCAGTTATTATAATAGATCCATGACCTAAATCCACATGCACTAGAGGCCACCCGCGGTACTACAGTCTAAATCCACATTCAAATCTCCAAGTTGACCATGAGATCTTCAAAGATGCATTGTGCAAGTTCAACAGTGTGCTGCGTAGAACGAGGGAAACTTATTTTTCGGAAACTATCGAAGGTTGCAGTAACAATCTACGTGTTCTGTTTTCAACAGTGAATAAATTGACAAATTCCCCGTTTAAGATGCCATCATAGCTTACCTCCAAAACCAAATGTAGTGAGTTTGCACATTTTTTTAATGACAAAGTCCAAGGCATCAAAAATGCCATCACCTCCACAGTAGAAATTACAATCCAACAGCCAGTGAAGCTTTTTGGGTGACACACTTTACACCTGTACAAAATGAAACTGTCCAAATGATAATTACAAGTCTGAGTTCTTCTACATGTAGCCTGGATGTATTACCTCCTAGATTTCTTACATCTGTTCTGAGCAGTCTTTTACCTTCACTCACGCATATAGTAAATATGTCTCTTGAATCTGGAACATTCCCAATGGCCCTGAAAACTGCAGTCATCAGACCCCTCCTAAGAGTCTGGAACCGTCTTCCCGAGAATGTGAGACAGGCGTCTTCTCTGGCAGCTTTTAAATCTAGGCTGAAAACAGTTCTGTTCAGCTGTCCATACAACTGAGTGATTTTATCTTTGTTTTTATCTTTAATCTTTTTAATGCACTATTTTAATCATCCCATGTGTGACTTTAATGTTTTAAGGTTTTTAAGGGGGTGACAGTAGCTCAGTTGGTAGAGCAGTGGCCTTTGAGCCTGGAGGTCGTGAGTTCGATTCCCACCATGGGACCTACTCCAACTACTCCCACTGATGTCTACTGTTGTTGTGTCTTTGGGCAAGACACTTAACCCCACGTTGCCTGAAGCCCCCGCTGAAAGACCAAGGCTGTTTCACAGAGCAGCCATCTTCCTGTGGACTCACCCCCTGCAGAGGATCAGCTATGAGCAATGGGTGGCAGCTCTCATTGCCACCCCCCTGACCCAGAAATGGACAAAAAGGGCTTGAAAATGAAATGAGAGGTTTTTAACTTGTGTGTTTTTATTTTTTATGTTTTTAATATATGTTGTGCTCTTAATGTGTCTTTTTAAATGTATATTCTAATGTTTGATGATTTATGTATCATGTAATATGGGTTGTGAGGCGCTTTGCGTTGCCTTGTGTAGGAAAGGCGCTCTACAAATATACGTTGATTAATTGATTGATGCACCAGAGGTCATCTGCGGTACTGCAGCCTAAATCCACATGGCTGTTCATTGTCCTCAGCTGACGGGAACGACAGCTTTCACAAAGGTCGTGTTTTTGGGGAATTACAGTGTCTCTTGTCATCTTGAATTTTTCTCTTTTGAAATCCATGTTTTTTTAAAAAGAAATCCACACTTCTGTGCCACAAACTCTGCTCGCTATTGTGTGTAGCACTCGCCTAAAAACAACAATGTGTCTGTGTCCAGAAAACAGAGCCAGCCCTTTCCCAGCGCTCTGAGCACTGCAGGAGCACGCTTCCATGTGGCCAGTCGGGGGCAGCAGAGAGAAGCATCCTTCTCTGTAAGTTCTATTTGTAAGTTTGATATTTAGCCGTGTAAATGAGGTGGTGCCTTTGAACTAGTGCTGTCAGCTAAACGCGCTAATAACAACCTTAAATCACACCAATTTTTTGCTTCTCTCTGGTGGGCGTGTCTCTCTCTGATGGGTGTCTCTCTCTGATGGGTGTCTCTCTCTCTGGTGGGTGTGTCTCTCTCTCTGATGGGCTTGTCTCTCTCTGATGGGCTTGTCTCTCTCTGATGGGTGTCTCTCTCTCTGGTGGGTGTGTCTCTCTCTCTGGTGGCCGTGTCTCACTTTCTGGTGTGCGTGTCTCACTTTCCGGTGTGCGTGTCTCACTTTCTGGTGTGCGTGTCTCACTTTCCGGTGTGCGTGTCTCACTTTCCGGTGTGCGTGTCTCACTTTCCGGTGTGCGTGTCTCACTTCCTGGTGGGCGTGTCTCCCTGGGGTGTGTCCAGGGCCTGCTCAGACAGCTGGTCCTACTTCCTGGATCGGACGCCTCTCTCAGACTCTGCCCGTCCCAAGAGCCGGGGCTGTCGGAGCTGTCTGTCCCTCCAGCGCTGAAGGCCGGTCCAGGGCCGGTCCTGGGACAGGACTTCCCCTACGGTGAGTCGCACTGAGCGGGCAGAGGCAGCCACTCAGATGCCTGAGTCCCCTCACTGGCTGCAGCTGCTCTGGGGCTGGGGGCCCATGTTTGTACACTGGTCCTGAGGGTCTGTTCTTCCAGAGGCTGAGGTGCGGGTGACGGGAGGAGTTCGTCCTCACTGCAGCCGTGTGGAGCAGGGACAGCTCTGGTTAAACACTGGCCTCAAAGCACTGTACCTGTGTGAGGGGGACCACTGGACCCCCCTCCTGAGAGGTACGACTCTGAAGGAGAGGAGTATTCAGATGGATAATAATGACTTAAGGTCTCTTTTGGATGTGGACCAAAGTTTATTGTGGTTAAAAAGTCAGGATTTTAGCATTTATTCACATTTCGCTGATGATGATGATACTGAGAGTCGGATGGCCTTGTAGACAGCTCCTCTCATGTGTCCCACAGCGGAACAGCGGCTGGACTATGTGGAAGACCACCAAGACCTCTACACCTCCTCTGAGACCTTCGACATGGAGCTCTTCACCATCCCCAACGAGGGGCTGTTCATGGCCACCGCCAACAGGTGACTCCCAAAACATCACACCAGGCTCACCCCCGGCTAACCCCCGGTCTTACACCCGCAAAACACCTGGCTAACACCTGGCTAACACCTGGCTAACACCAGGCTAAATCATACAGCAGATGATACTGCAACTATTACTTATTTCATTAAGGGTTCAATATTTATGGGATAATAAATGCTGTGGTTGTTTTTTTAAAATGATGAATAACGTGCCATATTTGCACAGACTCCGTGTGGGCTGCGCTGACATTAAAGTCCACTGGGGGACACAAAATACCTTTTCGTGGACCCCAAATGGCCAGTGGGCCGCATGTTTGAGACTACTGGCCTACAAGAATGCTTCTCTTATCGGCCCCTCTCACTTTATCAACTGGGATGCAGTATCTCAAAAGTACTAATACTAACATTAGTATTGTATATTTTGTCAGGTTTAAAACCGTTAGCTTAAACATTTTATTTCGAATTTTTTACTGAAAGTTCACACACAAATAACAGATAACTTTGAAGTGAAAGCAAAATTATACAAATATTTTGTTATTATAAAAAAAAAAAAAAAGAAGAGCCTGCACAAACGTTCATGCAGATTTACAGAGTGAATTCCATTGCCTTTAAAACAGTCCTAATGACTGCTGAATGAATCCCCTCGGGACAAATGTGGCTTAAACTGCAGTGGTTTGTGTGAACTGGTAATTTAAGCATTTACTCTGTTTGTCAGAGACTCCGGCTCCGGATCCGCCATCTACAAGTGGAACCTGGGCTCCTTCCACAAGTACCAGAACATCAGCACCTCCGAAGCTCGCGCCTGGAAGCACTTCACCATCAGTGGCAAGGTACCTCCTGCTGTGAGCCTCATGCACAGTATACTGAGCCTCATTTACAGAAGACTGAGACAGGTCTGAGCCTCAGGTATACTGAGCCTCAGGTATACTGAGCCTCATGTATACTGAAACACATGTATACTGAGCCTCATGTATACTGAGACACATGTATACTGAGCCTCATGTATACTGAAACACATGTATACTGAGCCTCATGTATACTGAGACACATGTATACTGAGACACATGTATACTGAGCCTCAGGTATACTGAGCCTCATGTATACTGAGACACATGTATACTGAGACACATGTATACTGAGCCTCAGGTATACTGAAACACATGTATACTAAGACACATATATACTGAAACACATGTATACTGAGCCTCAGGTATACTGAGCCTCATGTATACTGAAACACATGTATACTGAGCCTCATGTATACTGAGACACATGTATACTGAGCCTCATGTATACTGAAACACATGTATACTGAGCCTCATGTATACTGAGACACATGTATACTGAGACACATGTATACTGAGCCTCAGGTATACTGAGCCTCATGTATACTGAGACACATGTATACTGAGACACATGTATACTGAGCCTCAGGTATACTGAGACACATGTATACTGAGACACATGAATACTGAGACACAGAGGTCAGGAGTGTGGATGGTTTGGATTTTGGAATAAATGAAATGTAGTTTACGACTTGTGGCTCAGTTGGTAGAACATTAACCTTTGAGCCTAAAAGTTGTGGGTTTGAGCCCACCACGAGACCTTCTATGACTCCCACTGATGTCTGCTGTCGTGGCGTCCTTGGGCAAGACACTTAACCCCACTTTGCCTGAAGCCCCCACTGCTCTGACTGCCACCCCTGACCCAGAAATGGATTAAGGGGAAGAAGATGGATGGATGAAATGTAGTAATTGCGTTTCTCTCTGGTGAATGCGGAGGTGTTATTGTCGTTTGGTTTGGTGAGCAGTTGAACTAAATAAATTCACCTGCTAAATTATTCAGTTCAATTCAATTTAGTTTTGTATAACCCTAAAACTAACAGTAATTATCTCGGAGGACTTTACAAAGCTGTTGATTCACCAACACAGATCAGAGAATCAAACTGTTCCAACAAAAGAAATGCAATGATAAAAACACGTAGAGACATTGGTCCATAAGTGGCAGTATCCATAAATGTCGATGAATGTGGAGTGTCCTGGGGGGGGGATGTTGGCTGGGGGGGTGGGACAGATGTAAAGAGTGTGATGAGCTGCACGAGGTGGAGACCAGGGTACATGGCTTTGAAGCATCGGAGTCTATTATTTAGAAGTAGTTTGACAGGGCAGTGTTTCGAACAGTGATGAAGTAGCAGTTGACGTGTTTGTGGGCTGGGTTTGGTTTGAAGTTGTTGAAGTTGTCTGTGATTTTGTTTTAGTTGGTGGAGATCTGGGGTGAACCTTGAAGGCAGAAGCAGAAAAAGAGACTGTTTTTGTTTTGAGAGGAGCAGGAGGAGAGGTCAACAAGTTTTATTGTGGTGGATTTCTATGGAGGGAGGAGCTGGATAGTGGTTCAGACATGAAGGCTGAGAGGCAGACAAGGTCGAGGATACTGTATGTCCATGGGAACTGTTATAGAATTATATACCCCATGAAGGAGAAAACTCAAAGGTCCTTTGTCTGATCAAAAGCGTAAGTTTATTGTTAACGCACGTGCGGAGAGCCAGCACATCCACTCAAAGGCAGCATGTCCCAGCTCTGGCGCCAGAGCCCCAAGTTTCCTGTATACAAGACACACACGAGAGACAGTCCCGCCCACAACAGATTGGAGGGGGCCACCGGTGAGGAGGCGCATGGGGAGCGTTTGGCGCCGTCTGGGAACGAGGTGCGAACAGACAGACAATGGTCTAAATGCAGGTCATACAGATGCAAGACACGGAAGACACAAGGGTGTGACAGACAGCAGGGGGGCCCTCACAAAGCTCAGCATGGCGTCAGAAGGGCGTCTCTGCATTGATAAAAGGCCTTTGACGTCCGTGTATTTGCTGCGGCTGGTTTTATGTAATTACTCCAAAAACTGTCACCACACTCCCCTCTTTTGATAATTCAAAACCATTTTTGCATTAATCAGTCAAATACCAGAGGCATCGTAATCACACCACCTTCAAGCTTGAAACACTTAAATTATTGCTGTCCAAAGTGGACAAGAAAAGAAACATGCTTGTCAATAAAAGAAAGAGCACATTATAATAACACAATGGATCCGGACAGCGATAAGAGAAGGCAATATTAACATAATAAACACGGTCAGCACGGAAAGTAGTGTCAGTGTGGCCAGCATAACAGTCCAAGGCCCATGCCGGTCTTAGCCGGGCTACGTTCGGTAGTCTTTTCCGCGGGAATACTCACGAGCAGTGCCGTCTCGCAGTCAGTGGCACCGCTCCCTATGAGCGTGTGTGGAGCGTTAGTGGTCATGGCGATGTTTGGTCTTGGAGCGGCAAGACTCTAATTGCGTTGAAGCCTTGGCCTCAGCACTCGGTTGGGCAGAGTGCTCGGGGTTTGGGGTGTGGAGACCATGGCTTGAGCACGCTCCAGATCGGCCAGGCCCAAAGCTCGTTTGATGGGAGACCTCATGACAGCACGCTTCACCATGTGCCTCATCAGGAACTGTAGAGCAGCCCTCATCTCCACCTCCTCCGGACACACGGGAGACGAGACACCAGGGGGCACTCCAGCAGAGCTCAAATCTGCATTATGGCCAGAGGGAGCAAGCTCTGGAGAAATCTTTGGAATGGGCAGCAGCTCTGCATACTTGCTGCAGCTGAGCAGAGCGCTCAGGGCCTTCATGGCTCCCAAGCCTTGGGATCCGGGGGCTGGGGAGTTGGGCAGAAGGGGGGTCGCCTCGGGAACGCTGGGATTCTCTGGGTGTTGTTGTTGGCCTGCTTCACCGACGGTGGCCGCACGCCGGCCGACTTCTTCAGCGTAGGGAGCCGCGGATGGGCCTGGTCCGTCCGCGCCCTCGGTGTCCTCGTCTATGGCCCTCAGTGGCAGCACCGCACGACAGTGGTTGGCGTGGATCCAAGTTGTCCTCTCCGCGACCTTAACGGCAGTGTCCGTCACCAGGAGGGCGAGGAATGGGCCGAGCCAGCGCTTGGACCGCCAATGCTTTCGTCTCGTTTCCTTCATCAGGACCCAGTCGCCTGCGCAGCCTGTGGCAGGGCGCTCCTGACCTGGGCAGAAATAGAGGACAAAAGTGCATTAATTTCCTTACAATAGGACAGCATGTCGTCATCACACAAAGAGGTGCTTGGCAGATCTCTGTTCGGGGTTCCCGCGCCCAACGTGGGGCTAGCGGCAGAGCTTTGAGTGCCATTCTCTCGCTCGCACGTGCCTCCGGACCAGGGGGCGTAACTGCAGTGTTTACGTATATCAATGCCCAGAAATTCACCCACTTCCTCAATGACTTTTGCTACAAAGTGACTCACCACCGCGTTGCTCGTGGCGTGTATGCCTGCAAATACTTCAGTCCATTTGGACCAGAGATCCGCCAGACCCAGACAGTATTACTTACCTTGGCATGGTGTGAGTTCAACAAAGTCCCTTTGGACATGTTGAAATGGGCGCAGGGGCGGAGGATGAGCAGCCTGTTGGATACTTTTGGGACTTACCTGGGTTGTGCGCGGGGCATATAGCGCATGTTTGGCTGAATCTCTGTGCAAATGCCGTAAACCCCTTTGTATACCAATTTTGTGTGATTAAATCACACATCATCCCTCCTTTTGAGGCATGGTCTCGACCATGTGCTAAAATTGCAAACTGTCTGAAGAAATGCCGTGGCAGGCACGGTTTGCTGTCTGGTCCCAGCCACACACACCATGCCGTCGTTGAGCCCCATTCCCCTCCCACAGCAGCGTCTCTGCTGGAGTAGAAAATATCAACGTCTTGAGTGAGGTAGTGTGTGTGTGTGTGTAGAGGTGCGTATGCCGCTGCCTTGTCCGCGCGCCGATTCCCTGCAGAGATGGGATCAGTGGCATTAGTGTGGGCCTGGCATTTGCATACAGCGATCTCTAAGGGCAACATTACAGCTTTCAGCAGACGTTCAACCTGTGTGGAATTAAGAATTGGTTTACCATCAGATTTCATAAAATTGCGGTGTTTCCACAGTGCTTCCCAGTCGTGCACCACAGAGAAACCATAGCGCGTATCACAGAATATGTTAACAGTTTTGCCCGCTGCCAGCTCACAAGCCCCGGTGGGCGCGACCAGCTCAGCGGTTTGTGCTGAGTGGTAGTGGGGCAAACTACCAGAGTCTATAGTATCAAAATCAGAACACACAGCATAGCCGACTCGGTTCTTCCCAGTGTTGTCACGTGACGCGGCTCCGTCTGTATAAAAAAAATCAAGTCAGGATTAGTCAGAGGCACCTTTTTCAGGTCTGGCCTGGGAGTGCATATCTGTTCTATTGTGGCGATACAGCAGTGTGCCTCCCCTTCCTCTGGCGTGGGCAGCAGCGAGGAGGGGTTCAGCTGTGTGCATCCCTTCACCGTAGTTCAAAGAGCACCGTGTTGTACCCCAGCCAACGAGCCGCAGAAAGGCGAGAGGCCCTCTGCTCTAACAGGATCAGGGAAACAGCATGGGGCACAAGCAAAGTTAGTTCAGTGTATCCCACAAGGTCACGTGATGCTAGGGCCGCTTTCTCAGCGGCAGCCACAGCCCGCAGGCAGCGAGGCAACCCTGCTGCCACGGGACCGAGTTTTGCTGAGAAGTAAGCAGTGGGTCTCAGTGGCCCTCCGTGAGGCTGCAAAAGTACCGACACCATGCACCCACATCGCTCATCCACAGTCTGAGTGAATGGCCGTTGGGTCAGGGAGACCTAGTGTGTGTGTGTAGATTTGCTGTTCCGTTCATCTCCAGTTGCTTTTCTCCCGGATCGTTCTTAATTCATATTGTGGGCTTTTGTGCCAAAGTGGAGGCTCATTTCCTCCTGATCCATACTACTGTCATCCCTGGAG